TTCCTAATTGTTTGCTTATCTGTATAGTTTAAATGCACATTTTGCATGAATACACTACATAGTCATCATATATGGGTCAAGAAATATGCTGGGTGCTTTATATACAGGATCTTTAATTTGCCCAACAATATTGTGATGCAGTTTTATTACTATTGTTTTAAGGATGAGAAACCTGAGGGTTAGGAGAGTTGAAAAATAATTTCCCAACTATCTAGAGAGATAGTAAGTAGAGTTGAAGATTGAAATCCTCATCTGTCTAACACAAAGCCCATGTTCTAAATCATTTGCAATGTGGAAAGGAACATTCTTAAAGCTCTATATGTGGTAATATAATCTTGGATAAGATGAGCACACAAAGCAGGTTTTTAGACTGTGTTCTGCATTTGCTGACACATTATGGTCATGATTTTCTCCATTTGACATAGAAGAAAGCATTGGACTCATTATGCTTAGGACTCAGGTAATTGTGTATTTTGATTTAAAATGTACAAGAAACCAATTTGACAATAAATTATATTAAAATAAATAAACATTAAAAATGTATAATAAACAACTCATGGTAGATATTGAACCTATTTAGAGAAATATTTTCTTATTTCTCTTAGTACTCAATCTCTGTGAATGTGGATTTAGGCCACTGAGGCTTTGACTGCATTTTAATAGGTAGGGGATAAGGAAAAGAAAAAAAAATCCCTATTTTTGATGTAGCAGCTTGGACAAATGAAGCTAATTAGAGGCCCTAATGTAAGTGTTCTCCAACTTTTTGTGCCATGAATCCATGAATCTGTGGAAGCTATTGGACTTCTTGGAGTGATGTTTTTATATACATCAAGTAATATACATAGGATTACAAAGGAAGTCAATTATATAGAAGTTTAGTTATGGAGAATTTCTAAATATAATACAGTAATATGTGAACTTCTTTAATACACATTATGTAACAAGGTCTATTGGTAGGTCTAATAGCTACCACACATTTGAAGCAAGGGTGAATGCCAAAGAATACTGAAAGATCTGTAACAATGTAATGTGATAGGAAAAAATAGGTGATTTCTGTTAGTGAGAAAGTTGCAGGTACTGCCAATAAGTATGTGACGTTGTACCTACATTCATATCTTAAGGTAATGCTAATTTTTCCTTAGAGTTTAATAAAAATACAGATACACATTTTTCTTGTCCACAGTCACCCAAGAGTTTCAGGGATATGGGATAAGAAACTTTGGCCTGGTGAATGAGAGCTGGGGATGAGTAGTGGTGATGAGGAGGAGGCACCAACAGAAACAGAGGTCTGGGGCCACCGTGGCACATAATTTGCTTTTGCATCTGCTGTTTTGAAATGCAGTTCAACCCTGATGACTACTTCTGCAGAATAAAGGCAAGAAATATAGAAACAAATATAGTCATCTTTGCTAGCCACATCTTTTCCAAAGAAGAGTAACCAGGTTTTGTAAGTTAACTTATCTGAAGGGAAAAGAATGGGAAATGTTGGAGAGAAGATGCTTGGTGCCACTTTAATCTTTTAATATTTTCCTCTGACACCAAAGTAAGTAGGCAATCCCCCTTAAAGTGCTTGGCATACCCAATCCCAAAACTGGATGGCGGCTGAAGAGATATATAGTAAGTTTTCTGTCCCACTGACCAACAAATAATAAAGGTAACATAGTACAATTCACTGAATAAAATAAGAAATAAGTGAGTCAAAACTAAAATTGACGAAATGTGGGGGCACCTGGGTGGCTTGGTCAGTTAAGCATCCAACTTTGGCTCAAGTTACAAATCTTAGAGTTCGTGGATTCTAGTCCTGCATCAGGCTCTGTGCTGATAGCTCAGAGCCTGGAGCCTGCTTTGGTTTCTGTGTCTTCTTCTCTCTCTGCCCCTTCCCTACTCACGCTGCCTCTCTCCCTGTCTCTCTGTCCCTCTCAAAAATAAAGAAACATTAAAAAAAACTTTTTTTTTTAATGATGAAATGTGTACATAAATGGAGAAGGAAAAATCTACATTACATACACTGCCAAATGATTACGTGGAATGATGCAGTTATATAACCACCACTTTGCAAATGAATATTCATCAGTGAATCAGGCACAAACTATCAGTGGATGAATGATAAGTAAAAGCTTGATAATCAGTAGTAAATTTACATGGAATGCAAGTTGTCCCATAATTATTTATTAATTCCAAAGAGTAAAATTAGTAATTTTATACTGAAAAAAGTTGGAAGTCGTACTTTGGTCAAAAAGTACCATGAGATCATGACCTGAGCTGAGATCAAGAGTTGAGCACTTGGGGCTCCTTGAGTGGCTCAGTCGGTTAAGCGTCTGACTTCAGCTCAGGTCATGATCTCACCGTTCCTGAGTTAGAGCCCCGCGTCAGGCTCTGTGCTCCAGCTCAGAGCCTGGAGCCTGCTTCAGATTCTGTGTCTCCCTCTGTCTGCCCTCTGCGGTTTGCATTGTCTCAAAAATAAATAAACATTAAAAAAAAAAAAAAGAGTCAAGCACGTGACTCACTCACCCCCCCGGGGGTGGGGGGGGGGGCTGGGGGGGAATTAATCTTATACACTTCCTAATGTAACATAAGTAGGACTCACTATCCTTTAAAAATATTTTTTAAGATGTATAACCTGAATAATCATGAAAAAAAAAAAAAACATTGGACAAACACAAATTGAGGGACATTCTGTACAAACAATGAGTCTGTACAATACTCCCACTTTATCTGCAGGGGATATATTCCAAGACCCCCAGTGGATGCCTGAAAGCATAGATAGTACCTAACTATATATACTGTTTTTTACTATACATGCACACCTGTGATAAAATTTAAAGTGTATATGCAGGCACTGTAGGAGATTAACAACAATGATGATGATGATGATAATAAATAGAACAATTATAACAACATACTGTAATAAAAGTTACATGAATATGGTGTTTGTCACCCAAATAACTTGTTAGACTTTATGCACCCTCCTCATGATGATGTAGGAAGACAAAATGCCTACCTGATGAGATGACATAAGATGAATGATGTAGGCACTGTGACGGAGCATTAGGCTACTACTGACCTTCTGGTGATCCATCACAAGGAGGAACATCTGCTTCCTGACTGAGGTTGACAAATTGAGTGTAACTTAAACTGTGGAAAGTGAACTATGGATAAGAGGGGCCTACCATATTTTCCTCCTTTCCTCCCTCACTTCCTTTCTTTCTTTTGTTCTTTTTCTCTTGCCTTTAGTGTATTGATTTTTCCCCCCTTTTCTCTCCTCTACCACTTTGGGAGACAGACATTCATTTTTAATTTCTTTAAGGATTGTTTTTTCTTAATGTTTGTTTATTCTTTTTTAATATGAAATTTATTGTCAAATTGGTTTCCATACAACACCCAGTGCTCATCCCAACAAGTGTCCTCCTCAATGCCCATCACCCACTTTCCCTTCCCTCCCACCCTCCATCAACCCTCAGTTTATTCTCAGTTTTTAAGAGTCTCTTATGGTTTGCCTCCTTCCCTCTCTGTAACTTTTTTTTTTCCCTTTCCCCTCCCCCTTGGTCTTCTGTTAACTTTCTCAGGATCCACATAAGAGTGAAAACATATGGTATCTGTCTTTCTCTGACTGACTTATTTCACTTAGCATAACACTCTCCAGGTCCATCCACGTTGCTACAAAAGGCCATATTTAATCCTTTCTCACTGCCAAGTAGTATTCCATTGTATATATAAACCACAACTTCTTTATCCATTCATCACTTGATGGACATTTAGGCTCTTTCCATAATTTGGCTATTGTTGAAAGTGCTGCTGGGGCGCCTGGGTGGCGCAGTCGGTTAAGCGTCCGACTTCAGCCAGGTCACGATCTCGCGGTCCGGGAGTTCGAGCCCCGCGTCAGGCTCTGGGCTGATGGCTCAGAGCCTGGAGCCTGTTTCCGATTCTGTGTCTCCCTCTCTCTCTGCCCCTCCCCTGTTCATGCTCTGTCTCTCTCTGTCCCAAAAAATAAATAAACGTTGAAAAAAAAAAAGTGCTGCTATAAACGTTGGGGTACAAGTGCCCCTATGCATCAGCACTCCTGTGTCCCTTGGGTAAATTCTAGCAGTGCTATTCCTAGGTCATCGGGTAGATCTATCTTTAACTTTTTGAGGAACTCCACCCTGTTTTCCAGAGGGGCTGCACCAGTTTGCATTCCCACCAACAGTGCAAGAGGGTTCCCGTTTCGCCACATCCTCTCCAGTATCTATAGTCTCCTGATTTGTTCATTTTAGCCACTCTGACTGGCATGAGGTGGTATCTCAGTGTGGTTTTGATTTATATTTCCCTGATGAGGAGTGATGTTGAGCATCTTTTCATGTGCCTGTTGGCCATCAGGATGTTTTCTTTAGAGAAGGAAAGCTTTAAATGTAACCACTCATCTTCTGAATCACACAAAATTGTCATCCACTATTTCCATACCACTTTCTTGTTATTCCTTCCACGTTAGTTGTTACTATTTTTGTAGTTTTAAAATTAATGATTATTTTGATTTGTTCATACCTGTTACCATTTTTTAAATTACCATTATTACTTGCATTTTGTCCTTTGCTTTTGGGTTCAACTTATTTCTTTCAAAAGTATATCCATTAGTAACTCTAATAGAATTTTAGAGGGTCTGTGAATGGTAAATGCCAGCAGTATTTGCCAAAAATGTGTTTGCTTCACCCTCAATGTTGAAAGGTATTATAGCTGCATAGAGAATTCTAGATGGTAATTTTCTTTATGGAAAATTAAAGAAAGTATTCCCTTTTCTCTGGCTATTGTTATACCAATAAAGAATGAATAAGGTAGTATAAAACAAAAAAAAAATCCTTTTCGTATGCCAAAGAGATCTTGGAAATTTAAACATGTAATGAAGGTTTGGACCATCTGCCTCAGTAAACTTTTCCTGATGTAATTGTTTTCTATCAGTGCTGTAACGAATTACCACAACTTGGTGGCTTAGAAAAACCCACATCTATTGTTTTATACTTCTGGAGGTCCAGAATAGGGTCTCACTAGGCTAACATCCAGATATTGTCAGCCTCCTGAAGACTGACAGAATCAATTTGCTTGCTTTTTCTAGCTTCTAGAAGCCATTCACATTACTTGAGTCGTGACTCCCTTCCTCCATCTTCAAAGTTGGCCATGGTAAGTTGAATCCTTCCCATATCACCTAAAGTGTGACTTCCTTTCAGCCTCTCTCCTACATATTTAAGGACCTTTGTCATTACATTGGACTCACCCACATAATCCTCCCTATTCTAATAAGCTCCTTATTTTAAAGTCACTGGATTAGTAAACAATTCCATCTGTAACTTGATTTTAAAGTTTCCATATCTGAGGGTGTTGCCTCTTGAAATATAATGGAATCAATTAGGAGAGGTCCCTAGGAAATTAAGCATGGATGTCTCTTCAACAGCACAGATTCTTGGGAGCTCCTTGGTTTGCTTTAATCACACAATTAAGTAATATATTGAAATCGAAGCCTTGAATGGAATGTTACAACCTGGCATTCTTACCGCTCAGATGGCTTTACTAGTTGTAGTTGTTTTCCTCAATTTGGAATGTCAGCTCTTTTCACCTCCTCTGTCTGAATTCTACATATCCTTCCAGATGGAACTTTGGTCTGTCTCTACCATAAAACCTTTTTGATTATTTCAGCCGCCAGGGGTTCTCTGTTTTCCAGACTCCCATCAGACCTACCATATTTTGTGATTTGTGTTTTAATTAGATACTTTTTTTTTTTTTTTTTTTTTACTATTGTTTTGTCACTGTTGCCATCTTTGCTCCCATTTACTGAGTCCTCATTACAGAGTCAGGCTCAGTACCAAATGCCTTATGAGCATTATCCCACTTAATTCTCATAACTACTTCTTAGGGTGTTTCTCATTATCCTTACTTTGCAGCAGAGAAAATGGAGACTCAGGCGATTATACTTGGGACCCAGGTTTAGGCACCCCAAAAGTGGGAGAACAGGAAGTTGAGCCCAAATCTGTATGACACGAGTTTGGTGCTTCTGACCACTTTGCTATACTGCTCCAGACAATACTTATTTTATTCTTAGACCATGAGCTCTTCTATGGTAGAAACTCTCATAATATTTCTGAAACTCTGACAGCACTAGCACAGGCTTAAGTGTATAGCAGGATGTCAGTGCAAACACTAAATGGGCGCATTTGGCACAAGCATGACCTTGAAGAAAAATGGTGTCCTAAGGAATGCAAATAGCCCCAGGTTTGGTTTAGTAAGTAACATGAATCAAGTGGTTTTACAGCAAGCTGAAGAATCTATTGCAAAAGTTTTTATTTTGTGCCTTTAAGGGATGTTCAGTATGTTGGGAAATTTTTGGGAATTCCTTCCACTGGTTTTGGAAAGAGGACTATGGTCACCTCCATCAACAAGGCACCGAGCTAAAACAATGTAGCCAGGAGAAACCAGTGCCTATAACCACAATGTTTACATAGTTTCCACATCCAACCAGTTGTCCCTAACATAATTTCAAATAATGCTACTTAATGGAGCGGTCTGTGGTTGAGTCCAAATCTCTGTGAGCCTCCTACCCTCAGCCAGCCCTCTGGGGAAAAAGAAGATCACAGAGCCCTGCCCCAGTATGAAATTCCAGAGCACTTAAACTTGTGTCTAATGATACTAATTAAGGATTAAAAAGGGCTCTTCAGTGCACACAGATGATGCATTTTATTGGCCATGTAGCGCCTATCATTTCTTAGAGCATCTTCTAGTATAAAGTGCCCTAAGTCTGTGCCTAGCTCAGAGGAGCATGGATGTGCTCAAACCTATTTGTCTGATATTCATGCACTTTGTGCTCATGTGTGGGGCTGTCCCTTAGATACTACCGCTTTAGGTGAATTGGCTAAGCTCAGACTTGGATAAGCAGACAATGTGAAGGAAAGAGGCAAGGCGTCACTGCTGAAAAGCAGTGACTTTGGGCTAAGATAAGGCCTGTAGAAAACCCCAGGCAATGAAGAGGCACGTGGGAATATTTCCTGGCCCAGTGTATACATCCTGCTTTGTTTCTGAATATGGTGCTTGGCACGGGATAGGTGTTTGTGGGTTGGAGGAAGCTGTTTTTCAACTCACTGGCACAGGGTCCTTGTATAAAATGGGCATACAGCTGGGGCCAAGAATAAGCAGATTTATAAAGTTGGCAAAATCGTTAGAGTTATTCTTATCAAACCCTAGTCTTTGCCCAGCCCACTTGTTCTTTTATTCTTTCCATGCAGCTCACTGGATCTGGGTGCAGTTTTTTCATATAGCAGAATCTACCCCTCTGGCTTCCCACCTGCGGTCTCCTAGAGTCTTGTCAGGGTGAAACTTTTCCTGTTTGCCAATGTCCCATCCCCTCTACATTATGCTCTGGCTACATTGCCAGTCTGACACCTGAGCTGCCCAAGTCTTATGCCTCTCTGCACACCCCACAGAGTAGTGAAGGATGGTCTGAAATGGTCATCCCTCAGCTTTGCGGACAGGTAGGGCCTGGGGTATGCAAGCCACCCCCTCCCCCAAACTCACCCCACACAGCTTCTAGGTACAAGGAACTTCTGTTCACCCCAGCAAGTCATATGTCTAGTATCATTTTCTGTGAGTGCCATGAGTGAGAAGTTTCAGAAGGCGTTGTTAATTGCTGCCAATATGATCACTGGATGTGAGTGCCTTCTGGCAGTAATTTTTAGTCTTTGATGTGCATCAAATGTACTGACTGAGCTTCTTAAAAATGTGTTGCCTATTTCCTAGCACTGAAATTCTAATTCAGTCAGTTTGGGGCTTGGGAATCAGCATTTTAATAAATTCTCTGCCCTATTTTTGTGAACACTGTATTTGTCAAGATAGACAAGGCATTTATAGCACATAATCCCCAAACCTGGAAGGTTTCCAGCACAGTTTGGCATATGTGTACAGGACAGAGGTGGGGGGAATCACAGATGAAAAAACTGAGACCCAGTGAGGTGGACTTTCTCAAAATCACAGAAGTTACAAGGATAAAATCCTCATTCTTCATCCAGAACTTTTCCCGCTCTTCCATACTACATACCTTCTTCAAGCTTTCACATGAGTTAAGAGAGATTTGTTCCCTGTTGGAACCCTGACATACTAGGAAAATAGGTGTGGGGTGGGGAGGGGAGTCAGGACTGGGAGGAAGGTAGAGAAGAGGCAGTCAGTTTTACTGAAAAGTGCCAGGTGAGTTTTGTATTACCTCTCTCTAGTGTATCAAAGAGTTTTTAAATTTGGGGATTAAGCATCTTAACATATTATAAAATCATAACATTTGTTTTGGGTAGAGATATTTTAGGTTATTAAATGACCTAGCTGATGAGAATGTTGAGTTCCCTGAATAACTCCAAATCATGAGAGAGCTACAACTAAAACCTAACTTGGTTAAGGTCAGTGGCCTTTCTGCTACTTTGCCTTTCTGTGTCCTTGGTATTCTTTCCTGGCATGAAATAAGGATCCCAGGAAACAAAACTCATAATGATTCACTTTTGAGAAAACAGCACTTTTCTGTCCAGCAAAATCATCTCCTCGGCTGTTACTTCTCTCCATGGCTTCACAGGTTCTTCTTCTAGTGGTCTTACAGGTTCCAATAAGGGCCAGGGGATTCTTGGCATTGGTTACAAACCAACAGGTAACATGGCAGTGGTAGGTTCTTGATACATGGTTGACAGTGGGTTGAATAATAGAGAATCTGCAGCAGAGAATTAATGATCTCCATAGACTCTTCTACTGCATATTGCATTAGTCAGGATAAGTTAGTATTAGGTGGCAAGCAAAAGATTTTGATCTTTATTTTATATACCAGTAGTAACATATCAAGGTATTTTTTTTTTTTATAAATCTTGGACAACTCACTGAAGTTTAATATTCTGTAATCCCATTCAGGACCTAAACTGTATTATTTAGCTCTTTAGACCTAGAACAGAGCCTGGTAAATAAGCCCAGTTGAATGAATGACCATCGTCCCCTTTCCTTTCTTCTCCATACACTCTCAGGGGCCCTCAATCGCTTGTCATATATCCTGTGGGTGTCACAGAGCTGAGTGGCCCAGCAGTGTTTGTCCATACACACAAAGGCCACTACTCCATAGGAGAATTCAGACAAAAGATTCAGACACGGAATCTGTGTCATGGCAGCTAGCACTAAAGAGATGTTCCACACCAGAGTTCTTGGAAGTCATTCTTTCCACAGGCAGCGTGGTCCACATCAAGCTTTGCAGTGCTTCTTGGATCCTATGTCCAGTCCCCTTTCTATTACCCTCTTCCAACTCAAGCTTCCTCCTCCTCCTCCTCTTCCTCCTCCTCCTTTGTCACTCCTGGTGTATACATACGTCATTAGCAACCTCTCACTGTGGCAGGAACCGCTTTCATCTATGAATAGATTTTAACAGCCTCCTTCAAGCTTCCTCTCAGGGCTGCACTGACTCAGCTACCCTGGGAACAGGGAGTGCTTTGACTGACAGCGAGTTTTCCCATTCTAAAGTGTGATGATGGGAGGGTGAGAGGTGCAAGAAGGCGGGTCCAAAGGAAGCCTTCCTGAAACAATAAATCCACCCCAGCAACCTAAGAGGCAGAGTCGAAAGACGATGAGCAGCTGGAGAGCTATTGTGGGTTGCTGTGGATGAAGTGATAATTCGGGATATGAACTTACTGATTAAAAAAAAAAGACAACTTTCAGGTTTGGGCTTTGATCTAAAGATTAAAAAGAAAGTGCCTCCCCCGAGAAAGGATATTTAGAGAGCCAATTTGCAAGTAGCTAAGCTGGGGGAAAGAGGATTTCCAGAAGGCAAATCCAGGTCATCTGTTCACAAGTGATGGGTGCTCTGGCTCTCACCCTGAATTCACAGCTACTGCCTTTAATTAGTGACAGGACACAGTCACCACAGTGGCCAGCTGCAAAGCTTTCCTCTGTAGGCTTCCACAGACAAGAAGGACCATTTGTGGCTCAAGCATCCAGAATGTGTGGGAACAAACTTAGCTTGAGCCTTATGTGGGATGAAACCAGCCAAAGAGGTTTTTCCAGAAAGAGGTAACCTCATGGCTGTTTATTAATAGGACGGTGGATTCACCCAGTAGAAATGTTTGGTGGTGTCTGCTTAATTATTCTCAGGCAGTTATTATTGCAATTAGGAACCTGCT